CCGCCACGGCCGCTGCACCCACCATGCCTAAGTAGGGCAAAACGCCTACACCCGCCGTCAAGGCGCCGATCACCACACCCCCCACCACCACCCCCGCCACTGTTGCCCCCTTCGCCACCAGGCTTTGATGCTCTTGCCTGGATTTCTCCAGTTGGGCCCCCCGGATTTTGATGTGCTTGGCGTTCCATGCGGCCTGGCCCGCCACCGCCGCCAAATTCGTCACGTCTTGACCGGTGTCCTTCGTGGCAGACGGGGGAAACGTCGTGGGGCCCGCAGGGATCGTAGTAGGTGGGCTTTGGCGGGGGCTTCGGTTGCTGCCATCTATGTATTCGTCGTAATCGTCCTCCCCGTCCCAATCCTGGCTGGCATTTTTCCTTCCCGACCACTCCGTTTCCCCTTTCATCCGCCCCCGCCCGTAGTTTTGCACATTTTCCGGCCAATGCAAGCGGAACTCCCACAAGGACTTGCCCTTGCTGGCGGCTCCGACGAGCTCTCTCACCTCACTCACAAAGGAGCCTGGCATGAGGGTAAACTCCCTCTTCGGCGGCCCGGCATGGGGAAGTGCTTGCGACGACCGCAGATAAGGAAAGGCCCCCATGTCAGAGACAGATCCAGCAAGATCCGTGTCTTCCAGCTCTTCTTTCCTACCTCTGACCAGAATCAGTGTATTTCCCCGCAGGAGGGCGTACCGCGAGCTCCACAGGTGTACCCTGGCGCCTTGTTTTTTCACATAGCCTTGATACAGTATAGGCGCCTGTGGCGCACGAGATGCGATCGTACGTTTGAAAACATGCTCGTGTCCTGCTGGGCGTGGTGTTGGTGTGGAAGACACGGTCGTTGGGGCATGGGCCCCATTTGCACGAGTGCTTCGGGCAACAAAGGGAGGAGACCGCTCGTTTCGTGACTGAGCCGAGGACGAGGACGTCATCCAAAAATGGCAGCAGGGCCTGTCGGGGGGTACAAAAGAATATGAATGAAAGCCGAATGATGAGTGGGCAATGCACAAATTGTCGGTGACGGGTGTAAATTAAGTGTGTTTTTAAAAGTTCGCCGTCCCGTCATTCAACTAAACTTGAGTTCAGCGACAGGAACGGGGCCGATATGGGGGAGGAAATGCTACTCAACCCTAATGAAAAATGAGAAGCTTTTGTGAAAACACCGACGACACATACTTCTCAAAGCAGAATACAGAATGTACAAAGCGCCACGGTGGCAGAAAGTGGCGTGTCTGGCGAGGGGGGGGGGAGTCAAGTCGAAGCTGTGCAATCCGACTTGACGTTGGCCTAGTGCATTTTTTTTTGCAGGGAACAAACGCATTGAAGCCTCAAGCCTGCCACTGGGGATGGGAGACGATGTGTGATGGACAGGTCACAATATGAGGATGAAGGGGAGGATCAACAATTCAAGCTGCCCTCCTCCGCACATTTCGGAAGCGAGCATGGGAATATGAAGACACGACCCAACTTGCACGCTATCGAAACAGAGTGGCGCGCCGACCAAGAGCGGCGCCGAATTGCCATTTTAGAAGTAGACACTTTCGACAGGGCGAGCCTCACGCGGGTGGGGGGGTTGGATTTGAGTTTCTTCCCAAGCAGCCACGGGCACGAGAGAGAGGAGGCAGTGGCCTGTTTCGTGGTTCTATCCTATCCGAGCCTGGAGGTTCTGCATGAAAGCTATCTGCCGACAACCCTGACAATCCCGTACGTGGCCGGATTCCTGGCCTACCGAGAAGGCCCCCCCATGGCGCAGCTGGTGGAGGAATTGCGACGAACACAACCCACCTTGATGCCTCAGGTTCTGATGGTGGATGGGAATGGCATACTGCACCCGCGGGGTTGTGGGCTCGCTAGCCACGTG